ATATATATATAGAGAGAGAGAGAGAGAGACAACGAAAATGACGTAATATAAATTCTTTCGTAACACGGCGATAATGGAAAATGCTCTGATTGCGTTTGAAATTTACAAATATTATCAGACTCTCGATAGATCAAGTTTTGTTTTGTTTCTTCGATCGCAGAATATCGCCAAGATATATACATATATATATTCGTGAATTTGTTTGAAATTATTCTAATGCGTTATCGAGTGCTATAATATTGTTTACATTGAACTATTAAACGAGAAAACTCGTCGTCTACACGTAATAGTATTATTGCACAGGAACATCATTTTGAAATTTAATTGAAGAAAAAACAAGGAACAATGTCGTCAAAGCTGTGTGTATTATTGAAAACGATACTTTTAAGATACATGAATACAACCTGTCGATCTTTTTACACTTCAATAGTTTAAACATGTAGTATAACCAAAGTTACATCGAATTCGATTAAGTTTTAAGTCGCGAGGTGAATAACTGATCGAGCAAAGTAGATTAGTTCACCTGATATGTTCCGGCTATCGTCGCAACTATAAAGTTTACTGTACAGAGTGATGCGTTAAAAACGGTCTAGCTTTTGTATCTTCCGTCGAGTTAATATTAGCGGAAGAGAAGTAGTCGAAAATTAAAAATTTGTTTCCGATATCATCGACGATTGTAGTATCTTCCCAAAGAAAATAACACATTTTGGTTAGAATTTGATCGTGGCTCGAAAACATAGCCTCAAATGTAGCCATGTTGTTTTTTTTTCTAATTATTGAAATATCGAAAGACAAATATTTCGTTCTGTTTCCCCTCAGATATTTACTGTGAATTACAACGAAACGGTATTCTCGTTGAAAACGTAGGATGCGATATTTCAATAATTGGGAAAAACAATGCCAACGCGTCCACGTGAACTCGTTCTATTCATTTTGCTTCCGTGATACCATTGTAACACGCAAAACCTATCGCTCTATTTGAAGAAAGTACTTTTGACGATAATGTTGAAGAAAATGTAACGTAACTTGCCCCTCGAAACCATCTGTTTTCTGTTAACGTAATTTTTTATAACATAAACTCAACAGAAGATACGTTAAGCTGGCTAGTTTCTGATAAATCACTCTGTACTTCGGAAAACTTACATTTCTCCTACGTACTACTGATTCTAAACTATTCCGAGAAAATGCTCGTTCTCTTCACGCGTCAACATTTCGACAATTTTCTATTCTTTTTCCGTACACGACTCTGTATTGGGAAATATTGTCGACACCCGTAAGTTTGTCGTTGTTCCTAATTTTAATTCGACATATCTTTAAATTATATAATTTATCGAACGTTTAAATACAAAGGACAAACCGGACGCAAATGTTTGTTACTTAAACGACATTGTTGATCAAGTGTCGATTAAACGGCTCAAGTAAAAACAATTATTTTTAGATAATCGTCGTGTGAATACCGAAAAAAGAAAAAGATAAATTCGAACAAATCATTTTTCGAAACAGGAAGAGAAATAGATTGGTAGGCGAAGAAAGGAACTAGAACCGAAGAGAAAGAAAAGAGATACGTGTAACAGTAATCTACGATGTACTTAATGATCTGAAACAACAAACACGTGTAAAACGACTATATCCTTATTTGTGACACACACTAACGATCTGTGTAACATGCAAGATTATCGTTCGCATACTTTCGTATGATTAAATATGAAAGAAAAAAAAAAAAAGAAAAACAGAGAAGATTGTACACTGTAGAATAGTATTCACGAAATAGGGATGTTACTTGACCAAAAAGGTTGGTTTCACAAAAATGTTCACATTGTTTGAAATTAGAAAACGCGATAGCTCCCACATTTTTCTGTGTATACCCCTAATCGCAAAAATTGACATAGAGATTAAATGCGTATTAATTCTTAATAAGATAACGAAATTAGTGAATGTATGGAAACCACTCGTATCGTAAACGAAAAGAAAAAAAAAAAACGTACTTCAATGGTAACGCTAATGCGCAAGTGAAAAAGGAAGCATATGATATAAATACGTGTGTGAATGTGCGCACTCGTCAAATTGAATTTTGAACAATCAATATATATATACATCATGTATATGCCTATAATTTGTGTATGCATG